AAAAAAAACTCTCTTCTATTGACTTTAGTGACATCACTATCTTCTCCTACCTTTCCTTCAACTTCTCTGAGCATTCATTCTCCAGTTCCCTGGCTAAACTTTTCCTTCATGAATTCTTTAAGTGTTGCTTCCCTGATGGAACCCATTTCTCATTCCTTTGCAGCTTGTGTCAGCCCCCTGGCTTCAGTTACAAACAATTCACTATCTCCAGTCCAGATATTTCTTGTGATGAAAATTTATAATCCAACTGCCACTTGGAATCACTACTTGGGTATTTCAAGTTCCACATTTCATAACAGCGTTAGTTACAGCCATGTATCTCTTAACAACAGGGATCTTGTGAGAAAATCATTGTCAGTTTTCTTGTGTGAACACTGTAGAGCTACATAGAGTGACTACGATATTTCTAGGCAGTGCAATCTCATGGAACCACTGTCATATACTCAGTCCACCATTAACCAAAATATGCAGCAGCTCTGCCAAAGAATAAGCAAATCAGCACCGGCACACATGTACGCTACATTACATGTTCCTCAGGCATGACTGCAAGGTGCCAGAGGAGCCAAGTTTTCAAAAGGACGCCTGCCCCTGAATCATCTACATACTCCTCTTTGCCCATAACAATCGAAGCTCCTCCTTGTCAACAAAGATGCTTCATCCTGACTGGGGAAAGGATGCACTGATGGCTTAGGAATGAATGAAAAATGAGACAGGGTCAGCTGGGCATGGTGGTGCATGCCTTTAATCCCAACACTTGGGAGGCAGAGGCAGGTGAATCTCTGTGAGTCCAAGGCCAGCCTGGTCTGCATAGCGAGTTCCAAGCCAAGCCAGCTGGGGCTACAGGGAGATCCTGTCTCAAAAAGACAAAAAATTAAAAAAAAAAAAAGAGACAGGAAATGAGACAGGGTCGACTGCTAGGAACTGAGGACCCTTTTCTCAGACAATGATTTTTGAAGAGGTCTGGGTCCCAAAAGAACATGATATTCTTGACGGTTTGCAAGGTGGACTAATTAAAAGCTCCTCCAGCCTTTGGTCTCAAACTAGAGAGAAAAAAAAAGCAGAGTCTGATGATCCCGGGATTAAGAGGACAACACACTGCTGCAGTGGAGTCAAGTGCACCTCCCTTGGCAGTCAGTCCATGTGCCGACCTCTGTGGTAGGGTGGTCTGGGTGAGGTCTAGTAGATGATGTCCAGGACTCTCCTAGTAATCCCTCAACTCAGGGAGTATCTGGCCAAGCCCTAGAAAAGGCTGGGAAGACCAAATTTTACTCTGAAGCTAAACCCTGGGTGGAAAGTGACAACACCTGGTGTTTCTCATTTCAGCCTCAAAAGGCTTCTATGGGACACCCTGAACACAAGACTCAACTTGACTCCAGGCAACTGAGTGTTTTATCCTAAAAGCTAAGAATTCAGCCACAGTACATTTGAAGTTCTGACTATTGACTTTGGTCTTCAAGAGTACAGGGTGTCTATATCTAGACAGAGAGAGGTTCAGGAGTCTGAGACCCAGAAAGGAAGCAGGAAAGGTCACACACCCACACACTTCCACACACTGACATGACAGTCTACCATGCTCAACACGAACACAGAGAGAGAGAGAGAGAGAGAGAGAGAGACAGAGACAGAGACAGAGACACAGAGAGACAGAGACAGACAGAGATACAGAGACAGAGAGACATTCAATTCAACCTTACTTATAGGTCTCTTTGATCCTATACATACTCACATGCTCAGTGTTACATCCAGTGACCTTCACTCCAGCACACAAGGCATTGGCTGCTTTCTCTTTGTTAAACACTCTGAACTGGATAAATCCCGGAGTGAATTCCTCTGAAGACAAGAGGCAGAAAACAGCATTCAGAAAAATGCTAGAAATAGCTGTCAGCCCAGAGATTGTCAGATTGATGCCAGACTCAGGCTCTGCAGTCTAATACATCAGACACACTGGTGGAGCCTAACCTCTTGCTAACCCCAGAGCCCAAGAGCTACTCCTTAAAAACAGGCCCCTATCAGCTAGAGGCTTGTTTGGGGAAAGTCATAGCACAGGAAGGTCACTGAACATCTCCAAGGGTTTCTTGCAGCAACAAGCAAGTGTATTCACTATGTTCCTGTTCACATTTATCTTGTTTCCTTTTATTTTAGTCTCACATCCCAAAAGCTTTGAATTATATGGCACAGTATCAACTTCTATTAAAGCTATGCTGCCAAATTTAGATTTACATTCAATGACTTAGAAGTCACCGCTCTAGAAATAGAATTCTCTTCACTTTTTCCTCTTCTCCCTGTGCACATGGGCCTGGCCTGGTTCTAACAAGCCAATGAGGGGCTAACTGGGTTGCTAGGAGTACAGTCTGGAACTGAATTTCCTCAGTCTTAATCTGCCTCCACTGCTTATGCCCTGTGCTCCCAGCCAAGTTCCTGAACCTTCAGAAGGGCTTCAGTTTCCTAACCTGTCAGTGGGGTTAGTAATACTCCAGAGCTCAAAGGCAGTCATGCAAATCAGGTGAGACAAACACACACATTCCTAAGAGAATCCCTGTAGTAGGTGATAAATGACTGTTACTTATCATAACTGAATTCATCATCTGTCCTATGAAGTGTTCATAGGAGCATTAAAGACTTACTGCGGCCTTTGGGGGAATAATAAGAGGCTGTTTTCCGAGCATCACCAAAATCATAGACCACAGGCAATGCGGGACCGTTGTCAGTCCAACACTTTCCTCCTCCATATTTTACTGGATATTTCTAAAAGGAACAAAAGAGTCGTTAGGCAAAGACAATAGTGTTGGCATTCCCAGGAATACTGCCCTGCATAGGGGGACACAGTGTTTTCCCAATAACTGAGATTATTTCAAACCAGTCAAATGAGACCCTTTTCCTTTTATTGTGCTTTTTTAATACCCTGAAAACAAAGACCTTCTTTTTCTCTCCTTTCCCATCTCCCACTCTCGTCCTTGTTCATAATTCCTGAGAGAACCATCTACATATTAGTTAGTGGAATGTGGAATACAGACCCATAGAATAATCCTTACTGCCCGACCTAAAACACCTGTTCTCTCTCTGCACTCATGAAAGGCAGCCTCAGCTAGCTGCCCTGTGTACCTGGTAGAGGCCAAACAGATTATGTCCCAGACTCGGGAAGAAGTCAGTGAAGGTGCGGTATCTCAACAGGGAACTTCTCCTCCAATTTTGCATGGGGATCTTGTTGGGCACATGCCAGATACCCAGGTTCTTGGCTTCAATGTCAAAGTATCCAGGGTTCTGGAAAGCAACATCACCAAGCCTGATCAGGCCAGAAGGTCCCACAAAGCAAAAGACACCTAAACACAATTCTCAGCAGAGCTGATCACTCTGGGTTCCAGGTCAACAGATGGCAGCCATACTCAGACACCCCTCTTTCAACAGATGAAGGTTCCCCAACCATCACCCCACTACCTAATGGTCTTGTTGGGAGACAGTTGGGATTCAAGACATGTATTTCTCATTTCTTCTCCAGTCTGATCTCCAAAGCCAACTTTCCAACCCTCCCTCTGGCATGCTTGGCTACACTCATGCCTCCCCCTTTCCCAAGTGGGTACAGAGCACACCAACCTTGTAGTCATCACCTGTGGCCCCCTCTGCAGATCCAAAGGTGTTATAGTTGGCCCAGTTGCCATCCCCCTCCGGGTAGTCTTTTTTGTTGCCTTGCTGACTGGACCAGCGATCGCCCACAGTGCACTTCCCAGCCATGTTGTTCTCGTGCACACTAGCCACCAGGGTCCAGCCACCACCTGCAGTGGTCATGTCACAGAAGGTCTGGTAGATGACGCCATGCTTGGTGCGGAGGAAATATAGGCCATCTGTAGAGAGAACCAGTCCAAAGTCTTCCTGATGCAGGTTCATGGTCCACCTCAGCCACAAAAACAGAAGGGCACTAGGAACTACAAACATGGCCTAAAGCCTCATATGCTGAGTGTCCTACCACATGTGTCCCTGGGGATACTAGAATTCCCTGAGCTCAAAAAGACATGCTTCTGTGAGTGAGGCAAAACACAGTACTACCCACACTGACAGTTTCTCATAAAGTTGAACATAGAATTATCATATGATCCAATAACTCCATTCATTATATATCCCAAAGAATTGGAAACAGGGACTCAGATATGCATATCAAAGTTCATTATAGCTTTAGTTGTAAGACCCAAAAGTATAAACAACCCAAGTATTTCTCAACAAATGAATGGATAAGCAAAATGTCGTGATGTGTATTATACAGGATGTATATTGTGTATAATCATATCTATTCAAGTAGATTGAAAAATAATGCTACATGGTATAACACATATAAGCCTGGGTGAATTAAGGCAGACACAAGAGTACAAATACCTTGTGATACTACCTATATGAGGTACCTAGAATAGACAAATCCATAGAGGAAGGACTAGAATAGTCACTAGGGACTAAAGGAATATATTGCTTGGTGGCTGCAGTTTTTCTTTAAGGTAATGAAAAGTTTCTGAGATGGATAGTGGTGTTCTACCACATCGTTGAAAGCACATCTTGCCACTGAAAACCCTTAAAATAGGTTAAGTGGCAAACTTCATCATATACATAATTACATTTTTTAATTTAAAATATAAAAGCCTGATTGCCTGTATTATTTGTTTATTTGCATTATTGGTTTTTGGGTTTTTTGTCTTGTTTTGTTTCAAGAGATCTCACTCTGTAGCCCTAACTGGCCTGGAACTCACTATGTAGACCAGGCTGGCCTTGAACTGATAGAAATCTTCCAGTCTCAGTCACCTGATGCTAGTGTCTAGGCATGTACCAAGCCATGCCTGGCTGTTTGTTTTCTTTGGTTTCTGGTTTGGGGGGCTGCTTGCATTTTTGAGACAGGGTCTTCCCATGTAGCCCAAGAGAGCCTGGAGCTTTCCATCCTCCTGCCTCAGCCTTCCCAGTGCTGGGACTGCAGCCATGCTCTTTAAATGCTTCATCACTCACCACATGCATTATAGAACTTCTCCTTGATTTCCTTGCAACTTCTGAAAGGAGGTGAAGATAAAGAATTGTTCCACTTGGTGGGATCAGGATTGTCTTTAGCTAGAGAATATACAGAGGTTTATTCTCGTTGCTGGCTGGACACAAACCCAGCCTCCCCTTGTCATTCATCCCAAACTCATTCTATGATCTCTCAAGAGTCTTACACTGAGAATAAACAAATGTATCAATAGGAATAAAGAGAAGAAAATTCAAGCAGGGAGAACAATGTGTCCAAAGTCCCAGAAAAAAATAAAGTCTAGCTTTTCATAGAAAAAGAAATATAGGCATCTTATGAGCCTGAAACACAGGTTGGGAGGTACACAGCGCAGGACTCCAACCAAGAGACCAAGAGACCAAGAGGCACAGAATGAAGAACCTCCCATACTGGTCTCTGAGATGCAGAGTACTCTACAGGTCTAGACCTCTAGCAATCAAGAGCTTTAGGGTCAGAGGTACTCAACTATAAATAGTTCAGTGTTTATAAGTCAATTATTATTGGATTGCATTTAAAATATCTTAGGCTCAGTTTCCTAGTGCCTAAAAATGTAGCTAATAAATATAAAGAGCAATGAAGAGAAATTATAGATTGTAAAATACCATTAAGATATTTTATTTTTTTTAGGCCCAGAGGCTGTGGCACACGCCTTTAATCCTAGCTTTTTGAGACAGGGTCTCCCTGCAGCTCCAGCTGACCTGGAACTCACAGAGATTCACCTGGCTCTACCTCCCAATGCTGGGATTAAAGGGGTGCGCCACCACACTCAGCCCATTAAGTTATTCTTTTCTTAATGTAGACCAGGCTGTGCCACCACGCCCAGCCCAATTAAGTTATTCTTATAGGGAAGAGGATTGAAGAAAATACTCTCTGGGCACAAAGCAGATTGTGCACTTGGCATTGATGCCCAAAGGCCAATGCCAGATAGTGAGGAGTGACTGGGAGGGGCGCACTTCTTGCAGGAGTCCCCTTAGGGCCACACAAAGGCACAGAACCTAGACCCACGACAGGCCTCAGCAACAGTCTCACTGCTCATAGGCCCGTTCCTTCACAAGAACATATATCAGCACTCAGCCTGCATCTCAGAGGCATCGCCTCTGGCCCCAGAGACCCAGATCCTGGAAGTAATCCAGTCTAGTTCTGGAAGTGACCTGAGGAAACTGGGCTCTGTGGCAAGACTCACCTGCACTGCAGCCTCTGGTGGCAGCAATGATAAACAGCAGGAAGCCAAATTGGATCATTGCAATCTAGAGAAAAGCAAAATGAAATCATTAACTATCTTAACTACCTCTTTCTCTATATCCCTGTCTCCATTCCTATTTAATCCAATGAAGGCCCCTTTCCTCTTTTTAAACTCCACACACCTCTGGGCCCTAAAGCAGACCTGAAGTGAAATCAGTTTCCCCTGTCTCACAGACAGCAACTCCTTTCCCTCCACACCTGGCCAGGAGCCGAAAGTTACCAGCTAAGTGCAGGTGGGAGCGCTCTCTACAGAGGCTCCCCTGTGGTGAGACTCTGATCCTTTTATGGAGATAGCCCAGTGGGGCACAGCCTTATCTTCTCCTGGAAAAATGCCCAATGGAGGAACAGCTTCTGCTCTACTGCCTTACTGCAGGGAAATTCTGGAATTTTTAAACTTTAATGAACAAATATTAAATGTGCTCTCCTAGAATCATTCTCAGATTCTAAGTCTTGACGTTGGTTTTTGGGTTTTTTTGTTTGTTTGTTTAGGTCTTTCCTGAAAAGTAAATGCTTTTTTAAAAATTAAATATTGTTATTACCATAATTTCATAGGAAAAGAAAGTTTTGTGGGGTTTTTGTTTGTTTGTTTGTTTTTGAGACTAGGTCTCTTATAGCCCAAGTTGGCCTCAAACTCACTATATAATAGGTGAGGATGTCTTTGAGTGCCAAATCCCCCTGCCTCTGCCTCCCAAGTGCTAGAATTATAGGGCACACACCATCAAGCCTGGCTAGAAAAAGGAAACTTTAACAACAAAATAGTGAAAGGATCATTTCGAATAAATACAAACCCTTAGGTTAAATAAATTTAGTTACATACTAAGTTGGGCATGGTGGCACATGGCTTTAATCCCAGCACTCAGGAGGCAGAGGCAGGTGGACTCTGTGAGTTCAAGGTCAGCCTGGTCTACAAAGTGAGTTCCAGGCCACCTGGGGCTACAGGGAGACCCTGTCTCCAAAAGGCAAAAAACTTAAAAATAAATGTAGTTACATGCAAAAAGTAATTATTTTGTCCTTGATTTTCTCACATTTGCCACAAATTAGTGAAACTTTACAATAAACCACGTTTGTGAATAAATCCCTAGGAAGCCCCTCTAATGATGTTTCAAACCGCCTCTATCCCTGCCCCCCTGTGTTTCTTCAGGTGTCAGATCCCTCCTTGGGCTACAATAGAATTATTGTTACAGCTGCCTTAATACACCACTCTATTGCTGTACTGGTGGCATTGCAATCCTTAGGAAAAGATTGAGTGCTTTTTTTCTGATTAAGCTAATTTTTTCTGTATTTGTAGGTTCAAAGGATTGATTTGCACAAAATACTCAGGTATCTTGATAGGGTAAAATAACAAGGGGTATGTGGCTTACTTGGTAGAATTCTTACCTGGCATTCAAGGCCCTGGGTTCAATCCCCAGCATGACATAAACCAGATGTGGTGGCACACATCTGCCATACCAGTGCTTGGTAAATGGAGGCAGGAGGATAAGAGGTTCAAAGTCATCCTCAGGTACATAGAGAGTTTGAGGTCAGCCTAAGATACATGAGATGACCTTGTCACTACAAAACACTGCACATACATACACAAAGAAAATACATACTGCTTTTTGCACTTTGTATTGATTCCTAGATGCATTTTTCATATTTTGACCTCCTTAATATCAATAGCCATCTCATTTTTACTGGCACATAAATCATAGAACAGCCTACAGCTGGCTAGAATAAGAGTCTAAGAAAATCTAGACTATTAGAGGACCATGACCCTTCCTAGCCACCAGCATCCAGGTACTGGCTGTACCTCCTGCTTCTGTCGCCTACTTCCTCTGGTAGCTGTTCTTCATTCTGCCTCATCCAAATCCACAGTCCTTGACACTTGTTTTGTTCAGGTCTGCATGTATTCAGCTGTGACTAATAGAAAATATAAAATAACTAGAGCCTTGAGTTTGATCCCCAACCCTGAAAAAAAGGGGGGCATATAAAGAAGAAAAGATGCTTCCTTTCTACAGAAGCTGCATTTGGTGGATTTAGACTTATCGTCAATGGCCATTCCACTTCCAGGTGTGCTGGAGGCAATATTTTCATAGTATAACGTGTGTACTGAAAGAGAATCTTGTAAAGAAAGCCGCTCCCTCCCATGCCACCTCACTCTAGCTCAGCATCTGTAACTTCAAGTGGCTTGTTTGTACTTTATCGATTGTTTTAAAAAGGTATGTTTATTGTTTAAAAAGTGTATATACATATAGAGAATGAGAAGGGACAGATACAAAGATCAATGGATTACAGAAAAGCAAATATCTGTGTGCTTACCAGACTGGTCAAGAAAGAAAATCTTATCAGTACCCCAGGAGCATCCCATATGTTCCTTCCCAATTACAAACCCTTCCGCCCCAACTAAAATTAATTAATAGCCTAATGGTAATCAGTTCCTTGTGCATGTACCACACTGTCAAAAATGCTGCAGTTTTTGTTTCTTTCTTCCTTTGAGACATGGTCTCACTATATAGCCCTGGATGGTCTGGAACTCACCATATAGATCAGGATGGCCTTAAACACAGAGATCCAAGCAAGAGCTGGGAATAAAAGTATATGCCATTATGCATGGCTATAGTTTTATAAGATATCTTGATGGCCAATAGTGAAAGCCTTGTTCTTTTTTTAAAGACTTATTGTTATTATTTTTAACTATGTGTACATGTGTGTGAGTTTGTGGATATGTGGACATGAGTGCAGGTGCCTATGGTGTCAGATGCCCCTAGAGCTGGTGTTACAGGGGAGAGGGGAGAGGGTATAAGCCACCTGATGTGGAAATAGAACTTGAGTCCATTGGAAAAGCAGTATATGTTCTTAACCACTGAGACATCTCTCCTGTCCCAGCCCTGTTCTTTAAAAAACGCCTAGGTTAGGGCATTAAAAGGTGGTGCTCACCTTTAATCCCAGGTACTCAGGAGGCAGAAGTAGGTAAATTTCTGTGAGTTTGAGGCCAGCCTGGTCTACATAGTGAATTCCAAACCTGCTAAAAAGCAAAAGATCTGTCTCAAAAAAACAAAAAAGGGTTAGAGAGATGGCTCAGAGGTTAAGAACACTGACTGATCTTTTAGAGGAACCAGGTTTGATTCCCATATTTTGACTAACAACTGTCTATAACTTCAGTTCCAAGGATGCAACGTCTTCTTCTGACCTCTATGGGCATTGCACCCAGGGGTGCACTTACATACATGCAGGCAAAACACATATATAAAATTTTTTTTAATTTAAATGTTTAAAAAAAAGTCTGGGCCAGACATGGTGGCACACGCTTTTAATCCTAGCACTTGGGAGGCAGAAACAAGCAGATCTCTGGGAGTTTGAGGCATGAGCTACCACGCCTGGCATTAACCTAGACATTTGTTTTGTTTTGGAGAGAGTCTCAATAAGTAACCCTGGCTGACCTGGAACTTGATATGTAGACCAGATTAAAGGCATGGGACACCACACATGGCATTTATTTATTTATTTATTTAATATTTAATTTTATCTATTGTTATTTTTTTCTTTAAATTTTTTTTATTATTTTTATTTTATGTGTATGTGTGTATTGCCTCCATGTAGGTAAGTGCACCCATGCCATGCAATGCCCGAGGAGGACAGAAGAGGTTGTCGGATTCCCTTGAATTGGAGTTACAGACAATTGTTAGCTGCCATGTGGGTGCTGGGATTTGAACCTGGGTCTTCTGCAAGAACAGTCAGTGTTCTTAACTGCTGAGTCATCTCTCCAGCTCCTTATTTATTATTTTTTAGTAGCTTTTGGAGACAGGGTTTCCCTGTAGCTCTAGCTGGCCTGAGTTAAGAGGATGGTCACAAATTTGAGGGAAGCCTGGGCTACAGAGTAAGAATGTCTCAAAACAACAGCAAAAGGTATTTTTATTCTTGACCTCCACATAAAACTTATTTTTTAATTTTTCTTTATTTTTTTAGAATTCCATGAACGTTTATAATAAAATATGATCGTATCTATCCCCATTTCCCCCCTCCAACTCCCCTCAATTCCCCCCATCATGCCCCTTCCCACCTTCCCAACTTCATTACTATATATATAATATTTTTAATTATTTTTATTTATTATTTTTATTTTATATGTATACATGTAGGTGTAGATAAGTACACCTCTTGCCTACATGTAGATAAGTGCATCTGTGCTGTGCAATGCCCACAGAGGACAGAAGAGGCTGTCGGATCCCTGGAGCTGGAGTTATGGACAGTTGTTAGCTGCCATGTGGGTGCTGTGATTTGAACCTGGGTCTTCTGCAGGAACAGTCAGTGCTCTTAACTGCTGAGACATCTCTCCAGCCCCAAAACTGACAATATTTTTTAAATACATAAAATACAAAATTAAAATATAATTGCTGGTCAGTCTTAACATTTTACAGTATTTGGGAAAACAGCTGTTACAGTGTTCTTGTTCTGAGTAACTGACATGAAAGGAATAATTCAGACTGTAGTGAAGCCGTCTCAAAGCAGTGCTCTGAGTGGGGAAATGGATGGTCTCCCTCATTCTCTAGGAGCCACAACTCAAGCTCACTATGAAAGTGTTTAACACTGTATCCTAGGCAGTCTTTTTTCCTCCTCCTGTTTATTTTTTGTTTTATTTATAGTCTGATTTAAAACAATCAGATTCAAGTGGGTTAATTTTAGTTATGTAACAACCTGACATGATGGAGGAAACAACCTTTAAAGGGATTGTGTCTATGGCTTGATTCACTTCTAAATTTTTTGTTATAACTTAAGTTCAATAAAATGTATTTTTTCATGTTAATATATATATCATATATCTATATTCCACTAAGTCCAGTTAATGTTGCTCATAGGTAAAAGGTTTTAGATCAGGTTAAATGATGTACACACAGCACACAAACCCTTGGTATCTTTATTTAAATTACATTGTCTCTGTAGATCATTTCAGAAACAAGTAATGTTTTGTTTTGTTTAGTGTAGCTTTGTTTTGTTTTTGAGGCAGGATTTCACTATGTAG